AGCTTATCCCTAGGGAACTTAAAGTATTATATTTAGTTTCACTTAAACCACTTTGTGATTATTTCGTAAAAACTCCTTCAGCGTAAGCAATAGACAAAAGAGTGTCCAACGTCAATTTCAACGTTGACACTATAGTAGAAATATACTTAGAAAAGGCTCTTTTGTTGATGGCCGTAATCCTCCCTGTCTTCGGGTCGCCGTTTCACAGGTAAGTGTAGTTCAAAGCTCTCATAATACATAAAACGACTTCCTGTCTCCAATGATTGAGCTCATCCGGGCCCGGGGCATCTTCCAGTATGAGTATATGAATACAGCAGTGGATTTGTTGCAGTGCCTACTGAACTAGATCATAGATTAAACATACCGTAGGCCTACTCCTTGTGGAAATATCACATTATTTCAGGTCCGGTTATAGATTGTGTTGTATTGTTTGCTCTATTTCTTGTTACTTACCGTTCTTGGAATGTTATGATTCGTTGTAAATTTTAGCTCGTATTAAATAAACTCTTTATGGTTTGATCAGCCTCATAGATAAACTGAAGACAACTTGCAAACTATTATAAGATTTACTTTCTGTCACTTTCATATTGATGTTATGTTGTTTATTTCTGCTGCTGCTATTACTGTGCCGTTTTTCTTACAAGAGAAACAATGTACAGTGAACTGAAATAACTAGGGGAAAGCGGTCCTTGTTCCAAACTCATGTGTTCAGTGTTGTGGATGTGCTGTGCTCGTAATTAAACTTTGTAATGAATGATGATAAATTTACACATAATATTTAGTTTTACTCGTAGTTAATTCACACTTACGAAAAGAATATAGTTTTTTATTAGTTTTAACCCGTTAAATTTCCAATACAATCTAATTGCTTCGCCGAAGTAAACAAAAACTAGTCCGACAGTTTACATGGGAACACGACATGCACGACACAAGCTTTGGCAGATGAAACTACATAGTAACACGCAAACGCAAGAGGTTGATTATACGAACGATTGGATATATACTTGTCTTTGTGGGGAATATGAGCAAACTTAGTATTGTATAGTACTGTTTTCGTGTTATGGCATTTTTGGCCTCTAGGGGCCTCAAAAGAAAATACCCCCGCCGCAGCAAACCTGTATATTAAGCGAATTTCCATTTGCCTGATTGGATTTACACCAAAATGTCTCCTTAAAAATTATCACATTTATTCCCTATTTAAATAACATTAGTTTAACGAGTACTTATGTTCGCTGCAACAGGATGGTAAAAGGGGTTTTTTTGTAAAATGTTAATACTTTAGTATGAAATGAATGCATTTTCCAAATTTGATCAAAATATAATCATAAACAAACAAACTACAACTAACAGTTTACTTATTCTCCATAAGAATAACATGGGAATTTTAAATTTACAGTTTTTTGGAATTTTCTTTGTAACCATTAGGCGCATAATAACGCTTCAATACACTAAACTATTTGTTTTTAGCGAATTTCCCTATAGGGAAGTAGCTATTACCGTAGGTGGCACGGTAAGACCTAGACCCGGGACCAATTTACTTTTTCATTTTGATGTCCCCAGAGGCCAAAAACGCCATTCATTCAAATTTTTATATATGTATATATATAGATTTATATATATATATATACGTCCGTGAACGCGATAACTTGAGTAATTTTGGTCCGATTTTGATGAAATTTGGTTTAAATGTGTAAAGCGGGATTTACTTTACTTTCAGGATTAACTTGAATGAGTTCACGAACCAGCATGATCGGACCATGGGAACGGGGCTTTACAGGGGGTTTTATGGGGTAAAAATTGGTTTTTCTCACTTTTGACCCTTAAAACACAAAATTTCCCAATTTCTCTTTAGACCTTTTTAAAGAGCTTAAAAAAACAAATAATTTAGTATATAAAAGTATTTTTGTTCGGTTATTAGTAACGGAGAAAATTAAAAAAATTGTAAATTTAAAATTCCCATGTTACTCTTATGGAGAATATTGTCAAATGTTGTAGTTTGCTTGTTTATGGATATATTTTAATCAAACTTGGCAAATTTATTTATTTTGTACTAAGCTATCAATATTTTACTAAAAAACACACTTTATTAGTTTCCTTGTAGCAGCAAACCTAGGTACTCGTTAAACCTAATGTTATTCAAATATATTTAACTGAAAATCAATTCAGACAAATGGAAATTCGCTTAGTCGGCAGGTTTGCTGCGGCGGGGGTATTTTTTTTAAGCTCTACAAAATAGTATGGAAAGTTAATGCTAAATTTTAAGTTTTTAGGGTCAAAAATGGGAAAAACAAATTTTTGCCCCATAAATCCCCCCATAAACCCCTGTTCCCATAGTCCGATCATGCTGGTTCGCGAACTCGTTTGAATAAACATAGGTTTACACGTTTGTACCAAATTTCATAAAAATCGGATGATTTTTGCTCAAGTTGTCGTGCTAACGGACACATATATATGAATTTGAACAGGTGGTGTTTTTGGCCTCTAGGGACCTCAAAACGAAAAGTAAATCGGTCCCGGGTCCAGGTCTTACCATGAGTACTACGGTAATAGCTTATTCCCTATAGGGGAAATTCGCTAAGGGGAAATTCGCTAAAAGTAAATCGTTCCCGGGTCCAGGTCTTACATGAGACCTACAGTAATAGCTTATTCCCTATATGGGATATTCGCTAAAATAGCTGACCTAAGTGAGTCAAGCTTCAAAGACAATCTCACTCTATTCTACATGCACATTGCATTTATATTAAGCTTAAAATATAAACCAGCAGCATTGCTGTTTCAGAAAAGAGTAAAATAATTAGAAAAAATATAGAAATTGTGGTAATTAGGCTAATCTCTTCCTAATAAAGTTTCATCTATGTATTTAAAAGAGGATGTTGGTTTGTTGGCAGTGATATTTTCAGACACCGCTGGACCGATGGACATGAAACTTGGTACATACGTGTAGAATTTCATGGAAAAGGTTTATACACCATCAATTTCGTGATCCGTCCAAACGGCTCGGCCCCAGTGGCTCTCGAGTTTCCCCATGTTAACCTTATGAGTACATATATTTGAATGGAATTAAAGAATCTTAACAGCTGTTTCAACTAAACAATTTGATTCTGTGATGTTCAATAGCATTAAAAAGTTAATAGGTTTACCAACAGGGTGCAGCACTATTAATTGTTTAAATTCATGACAACAGCTAATTTGTACCAAAGACAAAAAGAATTAAATATAGACTGTCAGCTGTGCTGCGGTTACCATAGGTTCTGGCGCACACCGCTGGGAGCGCCATGTAATTACTGCGTACACGCTACGTAACTACACGGCGCTCCCAGCGGTGCAAGCACACTGCAACAGTATTTCAGTATTGCTGGTGAAATGCCATCCGGGCCAGATCCCTTCCTAGTATCTAGATGAGATAAGCGCTCCTCAACCTCACCACTCGTAACGGAAAGTCAGTCAAGCAGAGATCAAAGTCTGATTTTGAGGTAAATGCATCCACTGATTCCTCTTGATATCCTACAGGTGGAAAAAAGTACGGAAAAAATTACACATCTACTCAGGGTTTTCAGTGACATCATCGCCGAGTAGTACTACGGATGGAGTTGACTGTCTTCCTTTGGTTCTTATTAATAAAGAGACCCCAGAAAGCCTTGATATTTGTTTAGAGATCATTTACTCTGTTCTGTTGATATAGTGTTTATAGCAGGCCTGAGACAGGATCCTGCACCGATTGCGGACATTACAAAACTCTGTGTATACATGTTCATTCAAGTACTGTTTGTATCGCTTATGTAGTCTCTTCTTACAAAAAAAACTTGTTCTTTCTGGGAATACACTTCTCTTGGTGCTCTTGAGGGGGGAACACATCCTCACGATCTCTGCAATATATTTACATAGACCTGCAAATTCTTGGTAGACATCACTAGCGGGTGCAATTGAGGGTAAGGTATCTCTGAATGAGGTCAAAAATCTCCTGGGAATTGGATCTTCTCAAGTCAGGGACCATTGTGCCATTGACACGGCAATTTATACTAGTAGTTTCAAGTTCTATCTCCAAAGGTGGATGATGTGATGATAATGGCAGTAGAGGGTCCAGTGTTCGATATACATTAGTATGCTCAGAGAATACAAGGTCCAAAAGGGCACCATGCTCATTCATAGTCTGGTTACGCTGCTGTAACTGAAAAAGACGGCAGACCTCATAGACAACATTGACTGCCCGAGAGTAAGAAGAGTCTTCTTAAGTACTGGGAATCAGGACGATTCGGAGGCAAATATAGGCTACTCTCCCTACAATAAGTGTCTAAAGAGGTAGCTTAACCGCAATGAAAACGCACTCAGGCAAACTCACTTCCCCGTAGCAGCAAACCTAAGAACTCGTTAAATCTAATGCTATTTAAATTAGGAATAAATATGTCTTATTTATGGACATATTTTAGTAAAAATGTAATCAGACAAGTGGAAATTCGCTTAGTCTGCAGGTTTGCTGAGGCGGGGGTATTTTTTTTTTGAAAAGAGCATTGATCAAAACCCCTAAATGATCAAAGACCGCTGAATCCACCAATACCATAAATAAAATCTTTCTTGGAATCAAACCAACAATCTCTTGTTCATCATGTGAACACTATAACCGCTACCCAGATCGGCAGTTTGAATGTGATGCCCTATAGCTCTTCCATGTGCCCCCACAAACCTAAAACCTCTTGTACCCCTGGAGCTACCTTGGAGAGAATACCATAGTGAGCTTATGTCTTAGTAAAGTTATGGTAATTAATTGCAGCAAAGCAAGTATATTGTTCTTGTATGATTATACTGCTTCACAAACTTTTAAGGTAAAGCTATAAAACCTCTAAAATACTTTTGGGAATTATAATGTGTTGGTTTGCTTCCAAATAGGTAAAAAAATCCTTGGTTTTTAAATATTGTTTTCAACTATTTCGGCTAGACATTTCCAGTAAAAAAATCCCCAATAGAAGTAGGAGGAAAACAATAACTAATGAATAATAATAGGTAACATATTTATTATTTATTTAAAATACAAGATCAAAGAACACAACATAATTTGTTCACATTCCTGAAAAATCTGGATTTATTTGTTTTAAATACAATTCAGCTATTTAATAAATAAATATATGCAATAAAATATTTTTCTATAAACATGTAAATAAAAGAGTGCTTTGGATGAAAAATGTTGCGTGATTTTACCTTATCTAAAATTCACTTTAAAAATGATTGATTGTTTCAATAAGTGCTTATATCTCTTCACCATGACAAACAATGTAATCCAAGTCTGAATTGAATATGAGTAAAAGTTAATGTTAATTAGTTATCATTGAACAAAACGGCATTTCAGAATTAACGTTCATTTTGCTTCTTGACACTCTGGAGTGTACTTTGAGCAAAAACTGAACGTTTTTTTTTAACAAAGTGTAAAACAAATGTATTATAAAAATAACTTATAAAGCAACCATGTGAGGTAAGGAGAAATATTAAGTACTTTTCCATTACAGGCAGTGTTGGGGAAGCTACTTTTAAAATGTAGCTAGCTACAACTACTGCTACATTTCCAAAAAAGTAGCTTAGCTACAGCTACAGCTACAGTTCCGAAAATGTAGCTAGCTACAACTACAGCTACAATGAAATGTAGCTACAGCTACAATTTTAGCTACTTTTCCAAAGATGTTACTTTTCATTCCACGCACATTAGGTAAATGTAAAATTAATTGCAACTACCTACATTTTTATTGAACAAACATTTAAAAAAGAAATGTCAGTATTGTATCTAACATTACTTGGAAAACAAATTATTCCTAGATTGTATTTAATTTGTTGGCATAAACCTAACATTACAACAACAGAACCAAATAGTTGGGTGTCCCATCACATTTAGTAGGCCTACTTATTTTTAAATATTGCATTATTTTTAAGCATCTTATATGTAAATTTCATTAAGTTCAAAGGACTTACAACCAAACTATATTTAAAAGCTCATTTTATTTCTTTAATATAGATTCATTTATAGATGTCTTATATCAACAATTAAGACCAATTAAACTGTAAAACGATTATTTAAAAATACTTTTTTGTGTTACAGAGCCTAGCCTACTGAAATTGGAGTTTATTGCATTTCTTTACTTTTAATGTTAAAAACGACATTGCTATAACTTTTAACCACAGTGATAAATTACTTGTTCTATGAATAACACTTTTCAATGTCAAGAAATCGTCCTTTATTGTCAATATGCATAGGGAAAATTGTGCTTCAACCTAGTTGGTACAGAAAACAGTATTCAGCAACTTAACCTGAAATCGGCTTATAATTTAAACATGTTGAAATTTGTAAAGTAAAAATAACATGTAGGCCTACTTGGCTATGTAACAAGTTGGCTATAGTAGGCTTGTTATTGCAAGGACTAAACAGATATATTCATAATAATTGAACTTGGGACTTGGTATTCGTCTTAAACCATAGCATAGCCTAGGAATAGTCCTATACAAGAGCTGTTAGCAGGAGCAAACTATGCTATTTGTTTTTCAATGTAAGTTTCATGTTATATGGAGATTTTTTCGTTACAATTATCATGTAGTCTAGGCATATCTTAAATCTCATCAGGTAATTTCCTCTTTGTTAATTTAGTAAACTAAACCTTTGAAAAATCTTCGTAATCTAACCAAGGAAGGGCTTGTGATGATGGACCACAATCAACAGCTGAAGCAAAGGTTGATAGAGCTTTCTCATTATTTTAAGGTTTAGTGTTGGTTTCCATTAAAACCCAAGTTGAAACACTATCGATATAATAAAGAAACTAAATTGATTACTAATTTCCCTGTCAATCACTTGCAAGCATTCAATAGCATCTCTTGTCACCGGTAACGTTTAAACGTCGTCTGCATCTAGCGATTTTATTTTATCTGATAGTAATCATAGAGTAGTAAATTAAGGAAATGAGAGCCAAAATGTGGATAACACTCATTTAATGGCCTCCATGTCCACACAACGTTGTAATAGGGAATGAAACGGCTGCAACCAGCTGTATGGATCCAAATAGAAAGTAGGCCTAATTTTTTTTAGAAAATCTCAGTTTGAAAGAGGTTGTTTCACGTAAGGTTGAGGTTATGATAAAAATCACTATCTCAAACAATGCTAATGTAGCGAGAAAAGTAGCTAAAATTCCGCTACAACTACTTTAAAAATGTAGCTAGCTACAGCTAAAGCTACAAAATCATATAAGTAGTGGAGCTACAGCTAACGCTACAAAAAAAGTAGCGCGCTACTGTAGCGTCGCTACTTGTAGCGCGCTACTTCCCAACACTGATTACAGGTTGCATTATAAGTTTTAAGAAACAAGGTCAAGTTTATTTACATTAATACATAAGATCAGAAAAAAGGGAAATATCACATTAAAATTGAAAAATACCTCTTATATTAAAAATCTGGAAGGAACAACAAAGTTGTATAAGGCAAAGTCGTTGTCAGATGCCATAGAGTATAAAAAAAATTTAACAAGGGGAGTTATTTTGTTTTAGTAGAAAAATAACATGAGTCATGGGGGATGAATTTGAAAATTATTAAAATTCAAAATTAAAGATAATGTTTTTAAGACTAATAGCAATCTGAGTTCTTTTATTGATACAGAAAACATGTTAAAATAACTAAAATAATCATTTGTGTCAGAGATTGAAAGAATACATAATTTAAAAGCAAAATTAAACTAGTATAAAGAATTGAAGAATTCATAGCAAAAAGTAGGCTACAACGTATAAAACAAAAAAAATCAATATTGACAAGATTTTTGTAAAATGACAGGAGTAAAGCTTATTCATCAAAATTAATTAGAATAGACAAAAATAAATAATATTCCCAATAAAAACTGTGTAGGAGTTCTATTCAAGGCTGGCAAAATCATTATCACATTCGTCTAAATAAATAAATCACAACCTCATGAAAATATTACAACTATACAACCGGAAAGCATAACAAAAATGTGTAACACCTATTTACTTACGATTTCCTTATATACAAATGTACAACTACCGTAGGTAAGAAAGTTACAAAAATGTACACAGAGTAAAAATATGTCTTAACGATATTTGATTATTTTGTCGGCGGAGAATATGGCACAGAGGGGCCAACCTCTACGACACGGTCTTGTTCAGAGGTTGGCAGGCTTGTCTATGATGGCCACGCCTGCGTAGCTGCGTCCGATGCTCATGCACGACGACAGCATGGACCATGAGTCAGACTTGGGGTTGTAGACCTCGACAGAGGCAAGGTTAGAACAGCCGTCGTCGCCTCCCACCACGTACAGCAGTTTGTTCAGAGCTACAACTCCTGCAAGACAAGGTGGCGTTGTCATACCATTGGCTTTTGGATACTGAAGTAAACATATCTATGTGAACCAGCTGTAATAAACTGTTTATTCAAATAGGACATAGGCGAGATGATCAGATTGTGGCCAAAACTCTATCTATATTCAAGAATCGAGCAGTTTATTCACCATTGAGTAATACTAGATTACAAAAGGCTTCATCAGTTATACATTGCCACAAGCCAATATCAAGGTTATATTCTCATAAAGTTTGTGATATTAAATGTAGAACATTGCTATAGTTTACTGTACCCCCCCCCCCCTCCCCTCCAGAACACTGTCAGTGACACTCAATTCAACAATGTTAATTTGTATTGTAATACTGGATTCAGATTTAACATGGGAACAAAGTTTCTACTAAAATTAATAGTCAACGCTTATACTTGTGATTGGGAATTAGTTTGTGCCCGTACATCATACAAAAATCAAATGATATAACTCAGTACTCAGTACCTAAAAAATTTCTGTTTAGTTTGTGAGAGCTTAAAATTACAATAAATGTCACTTCAAATAGCATTAAAGATTTATCATTTGAATTTCTCAAACTAAATAGTAGCTTACAGGTTGCCAATACTGAGGTATGATTACAATCACTTTTATTTCTAGGTAGGGTAATACGCAACCCAATTATTTCGTATTGCACTGAGACTCGTATTTTGTATTTCGTTTTTGTGTTTGGGACTCCACTGTGCATTAAAAATTACATCCAAAATCGTCTACCATTATAAGCTAACAAACGTTCCTGTATTTTGTTAAGTGTACTACATTATAAGTGAGCCAATTACATACCAGCATTGCGCCTACAAAGGGCCATGTCTGCCACAGGGGTCCATGTGTTAGTCTCTGGGTTGAAGGCCTCCACACTCTTCCTCACCAGAGGTCCGTCGTGACCTCCTACAGCGTACAGGATACCGTCCAGCACCCCCACTCCTGCAATTGGACAAGTTCCGTAAGGATAGGCCTATCTCACTCCGTTCTATCAAGGCACCATTAGAAAAACAGGCCATGCTGCAGCGCAACACTACGTCACAGTGGTGGATAGCTGTACTAAAATCTTACCGTTAAAATCTGACAAACAGCCAGCTTATTTACCTAAAACATATAGGATATGGCAGTCAATCTATCAACAGATCTATCCACTAGTGTGACGCCATGGATCCTGCAGCATGGCCGGTTTTTCTAGTGGGGCCTTGATTCTATACTCAGCCTGATTGATAGTTGTACAAAATACATCACTGTCTCACAAACTCAGTAAATGGGGAGCAGAAGGGTCCCAAGTTTGAAACAAGCCGTGTTATCAGTTAATGAATGAATCCTAAAAACTGAGACATAAAAGAATCCATTTTCCATGTTCCCGTATAAAGACAATTAAACAACACCATAACATTAAAATCACTCTAATTAATTATAAAATCTATATAAATAAAATTAGAGTTTTGTCTGTACATTGCTCAGAATTATATATTTTTATGTTATTTTTACGTTTTATACATTAAAGAAGCAGAAACGAGTCGTATCTTTATTTCTATCTGTCTGTAACACTCAAGATGTCATTTTACGCTATCTTCTCCAGGAAAACGAGAGTACCTATTAAGATCTAAGTCATTTTAATGTATTCACTGGATTGGGGAGAGTGCCTTTAGCCATTAAAATATGACCTCACTACTTTGTAAATAAAATTACGGACGTTCAAAAATGCAGTTTTGTGTGATTTTTAACCGACTTCCCCACTACCAACAAAGGAGGAGGTTCTCAATTTGTTTGTGGCGATGTTTTTTTTTTCTATGTATGTTCACCAATTTCTCTGTGATTCTTTTACCGATCAGTGTGGTTCCACCACCAAAATAACCAGGAGGATTTCTATTTGGTACCTTATATATTATGTTTAAGTATAATATTTGTTTCGGTGAAATATTCTGAAAACCTTAAATATTCAACATTTGTTTTGTTTACATTTGTGCAGATTGTTTACATTTGTGCAGAGAAGGCAATAAATAATAATAACATTCCTACAGCTGTTAGTTGAAACCATTTAAATGAAGCCACAGACAATTCTTCATAAAACAGTTGCTTCATACTGACCAATAAACTATTTCTTGCCATGGAGCCTTTGAATTACATTGAGAAAAATGCATTTTGTCTTGGTTACTATAAAAAATGTATTTAACCGTTTGACCTGATTTGTGTATACAGTAATTCTGTTATTAGTATTGAATATTCTGGCTTACAAAAACATATATGTTTCAGTGAATAGCAGTATGATATTGACAAATAAAGGTGTATTGTGAAAACCAAAATATTCGTAAAACAGGTTGTTAAATATGGTATTAAGAGGTAAAATTGTGAGAAATACCTTTAGATCCTAAAACTGAAGATCCATTAGGGTTTTGGTAGAACAGGAACAAGATGAGCAGAGAAGCGATGGCTCTGGCCAGAGTGACGAGAATCGAAGGACCACAGATGAAAGATGATGTTGAGAAATGACTATTGTTGTGTAGTATGTAATTCTTCACTGATTTAAATTAAAACTCTTCTTCATTAATAAAAAGAAAGCAATTCACTACTCATGAATATTCTGGACTGTACACGAAAATTTACAACACATCTACTTTAAATAAAAATATCTTCTTGGATCCTAGCTTGACACTTGGTACTATAAATTTGGAATCCATATTTAAATGAGAAATGATGAAATAATGCACTTGGAGCGGTAAGAGAGAAAGAGAGATTAAAATATTTAATATGAACTAAACCAAAAGGTAAGCACTGTGTACTGTGAGAGAGGTGAGTCTAAACTGAACTGACTAGTACGAAGTGCTGTAGTGAACTTTGGACAGTGATGTCATCATATCAGCTGTTGTATCCTTTCAATAACTGAACTAAAAACTTGACTTGAATGTTAATACTACTTGATTAATTGTTTATATTTGACTGTATATAGTTCATATGTTATTAAATAAATATTTTATTAAATGTCCTTAGTTGAATTACTAAATATTTAACATACCGGCCCCCCCTGAACCCCTGGGTTCTGAAAACAACACAAAAAATGAGAAAATCAATAAAAAAGGGGGGTGGTAACTCCTCTTCACTATTCCATAGGAAGGACAGACACCTTTGTCACAGGACGAGAGAGGTGTCTACTTGCGGTCTTCAGGTGCACGACCCGTACTATTCCATCAGTACCAGGTGAAACGGAGAGAACTCGTCCAAGCTTCCAGGAGAGTGGAGGCAAGTTGTCTTCATGAATGACAACCAAGTCATTGACTTCAATATTCTTCTTGGGGTTGACCCATTTATTTCTCTCTTGAAGAGTGTACAGATACTCTTTCTGCCAGCGAGCCCAGATATGTTGACTGAACTGTTGGACTACCTGCCAGCGTTTTAATCGGTTGATAGGAATGCTACGCAAGTCAGGTTCAAGAGGTGTCATAAGAGGACCACCTACTAAAAAATGACCTGGCGTCAAAGCTTCTAGGTCCGAGGGATCAGAAGAAAGAGGAGTTATAGGCCTAGAGTTCATCATTCCTTCAATACGGGTGATTAAAGTCGAAAACTCTTCCAGTGACAGGGTCTGTTGTCCAATGACTCTTATTAGGTGAAATTTCACACTTTTGACGGCCCTCTCCCAAAGGCCTCCCTGATGAGGTGCATGTGGAGGTAAGAAGTGAAATTTAATATTGAAATTCTCAGCGTAGCATTGTACTGTGGAATCCTTGATTAAATTTTCAAAGTTGCGTCTGAGTTTTTCGGATGCACCTGTGAAATTTGTAGCATTGTCACAGTGAATATCTGAAACGATTCCTCGTCTGGAGACAAATCTGGTAAGAGCGGCTAAATAGGCATCCGCTGTTAGGTCGGTTACTACTTCTATGTGTACCGCCTTAGTAGAGAAGCAAATAAATATACAAATATAAACCTTGATAGGTTGAACTCGTCTTAGTAGATGTTGCTTCACAAAGAAGTGTCCTGCATAATCTACACCAGATATGGAAAATGGCCTTGAAGGTGTAACTCGATTCATAGGTAATTCCCCCATGAGTGGAGAAGAATGAGGAGGTTTACATCTGAAACATTTTATGCATTTAAAGATCCTAGATCTTATTAAGCTTCTAGCACTGAGAATCCAGTACTTGTTTGCCAGCATAGCCTGAGTTAGAGTTGGACCAGAGTGCAAATATAAGACATGATGGTGGTCAATCAAAATATCAACTAACCTATGACCTTTAGGTAGCAAGACGGGGTGTTTGTGATCTTCAGAGATATCAGCCTTGTTTATTCTTCCCCCTACTCGAATGAGGCCATCTTTATCCAGATAAGGAGCTAGGCGTCTAATGCGTACAGAGCAAGGTTTATTGGATTTCAAACATGAGATTTCTTCAGAAAAATATTCTCGTTGAACCAATTTACAAATCAGGTTATGAGCCTCTTTTATCTCCTGAGAAGTTAAATTCCCAATTTGTTTAACTTTATTTCTGGTGTTATGAATGAAGCGCAGCAGGTATGCGGAAACATGAAGTAGTGTTGTCCAAGATGAGAAGCGAGTGAGGAGAGAAAATGGTTCATCCAGAACAGCAGAGAGAGTGTTAACTGTGAGAATCTTAGTTTCAGGGATAGACTCTTCAGGTAAAGATTTACAGACAGACTTTGGCCAATTTTCTTCAGATTTACACAACCAGACAGGTCCATTCCACCAAAGTGTGTGGTTAATCAAATCTTGTGGGGCGGTACCCCTTGACCCAACATCCGCTGGATTTTCTAGTGATGAAATATGTTGCCAAAATGAAGGTGGGATATTTTCCTGTATTTCTGCAACTCGATTTGACACATAAACCTTGAGTCGATAAGAGGGCATGCCAATCCATGAAAGCACGATTGTGGAATCGCACCAAGCTGTGTATGAACTAATCTTGCAGTGAGGTGAGAGAAGTTGTATACAGTAATTTAGGAGCTTAGACATCAGGTGTGCTCCGCAGAGCTCCAAGCGAGGTATGGAAATACGCTTCAGAGGTGCGACTCTTGACTTCGCTATCAGAAGATAAGTCGATATAATTCCTTGTGAATTTACAACTCTCAGGTAAACACAACTACAATATCCTGCTTCACTTGCATCAGAAAAAGCATGTAGCTGAATATCTTTAGCAGAAGAAAGTCCCACGTAGCGAGGTATCTTGAGCATTTCAATATATGGAAGTTCATTGGCGAACTTGTTCCAAACTGATATAACGCTGTCGTCTAGGGGTTCATCCCAATCGAGACCAAGTGTCCATAAGTATTGCATGAAGGATTTGGACCAGAAGGTTACAGGAGTTAACCATCCTGACGGGTCATAGATCTGTGATATCACACTTAAAACAATTCTTTTTGTAGGAGTTTCCTTAATATTTTGAGTTCCTACAGAATAAGAAAAAACATCTTCATTAGGAATCCATTTAAGTCCTAAAACACTATGAACTGGTTGTTCGGGAGCTCGAAAACCAATAGGTTTTTCTTTGTGATCTTCAGGGATCGACTGTAAGAGTAATGGATTATTCGAAGACCATTTTCTTAACTCGAAACCTCCTTTTTTGAGTAACTGAACCACATCATTTTTCAACAAAAGAGCGTTTTCTACGCAATTACTACCCAATAGGGCGTCATCGACATAAATCTGATCCTTTAGAGCAGTTGCGGCTAGAGGATGATTTTTTCCTTCATCAATAATGAGTTGTTGAATGACACGATTTGCCAAGTAGGGCGATGATGTGAGCCCATAAGTGACAGTCGCTAACTGATAGATTTGAAGAGGCATTTTATCATTCTCTCTCCAGAAAATAAGTTGAAATATCTGATCAGATTCCTTTACAAGGACTTGTCGAAACATCTGCTTGATGTCGCATGAAAAAACAACCGCATGTCGGCGAAAGTTGAGAATGATGTCACATATGTTG